TATCACCTGTGTTAGCTGGATTTCCTGCCCAGCTAGGGAGTTTTGACGTCTCTTTGCATCGACAAAAACTCATCATGGCCGAGAAAGCATATTCAGCCGTCGCCGAAACGAAGCGCATTTTGGACTTTGTCCTCGGCACCGTGCAGATACCTGCTGAAGCTGAAAAAATCACCAAAAATGTGCAGCTCACTGCGACTCGCGACCTGCCGTACTTTCCTATTCCCTTTAAGGAAACGGAGTTGGCCTCAGCTCTGAAGGCCATTGAGGGTGGTGTTGCTGGAGCGCTTGCAGCTACCAAGTTTGGAACCAACACTGAGCCAACGGTCACAGTGAGCTTGGAGAAGAGCACTGCGTTCTTGATTCAGGCGTATTTGGCGACTGTTGGCGGCTATGGAAAGTTGGACAAAGGGGTCAAGAAGATGCTGAAAGGTGAGCTCACAATCACGGTTCTCACCACTCGGCGGATCAAGTAGATCTAACTGTCCCAGACACGGACTTGCTAAAAGCGCAATCCGATCCGTACCGTCGCATGTCAGCAAACCTGTACGAAACTAAGCAAAGAGGAGAGTACTACCACATTCATGGATCACTTGAGGCATCAACGACTCTTGGCATGATAGGCTTGGAGCCGTTCAGACCGGACCTGAAGGATGATCATGACGCAATTGTCGATGCAATTGAATCTCATGTAAAGAATTACACCACTGAAGAGCTGGAGCGCATGAATGCAGAGAAACGCCAGGCTGGCGTACCCGTACTCAAGCATGAAGACTTCCTTCGCACACCTCATGTAAATCAATCTCACATCTCACATTCCCCATATAATATTGACGGCTTTCCTTACAGGGCAAGACAAACGTCAGCCTCCCTCCTTGGAGCGTTGACAACCTGGAGAACTCAACACCTCCAACGCCGCTACCTAGTACATCCGACAAGCGCATTCTATCTGGTGTCAAAGTGCTTGAGCTGTGTCGCATCATCGCTGGGCCGGTAATCGGACGTATCTTGGGCGAGTATGGCGCGGATGTATTGAAGATTACAAGCCCCAACCTCAGCGATGTGCCGTTTTTCCAAGTCGATGGCAACATGGGAAAGCACGCGGCCGACCTTGATCTCAAGACGCCAGAGGGAAGAACACAGTTCGAGGCCCTGCTGGCGGAAGCGGATGTCGTTCTTGACGGGTATCGTCCTGGTGCCTTGGAGAAGCTCGGTTACGGCGCGACTGCTCTGACGAAACTCGCCAAGGACCGCAGGAAGGGTATCGTCTACGTCAACGAGAACTGCTTCGGTTACCAGGGAGAGTGGGCATCACGGCCTGGATGGCAACAGATTGCAGACTGCGTGAGTTCAGTCCCTTGCTATTATCGATCATCGACTAACATGATCATAGGTCAGTGGTGTGGCGTGGGCGCAAGGCCGTTTCATGGGGCTGGATGAGCCGGTTGTTCCCCCTTTCCCCATTTCTGATTATGGAACGGGCTGCATGGGTGCCATTGCGGCTCTAACCGGTCTCTACAACAGAGCTACCAAGGGTGGCTCGTGGCACGGCAAAGCATCTCTCCTGCAATACGACCTGCTCCTCATCAAAGTTGGGCAGTACCCAGAAGAAGTCGGACGCGAGCTGTTGAAGTTGGCGGGTGATGACTTCCTCGCTTTGAGGCACAGCCACAGCGTCGATCAAATCTCAGGCACAGCACTGAAGGCCATGAAGCGCTACGCTCCAGAGCTTTTCAGCTCGAAGGAGATTCGCGAAAAGTGGTACTCAAAGGGATACAAGGCAGAGGTTGAGGCCGTGAAACCTGTGGTCAAGATTGACGGCATCGATATTGGATTCAAGAGAGCGAGCAGGCCAAACGGCACAGATGCAGCAAGTTGGGATTTCGGACCGGAAGAGGATCATCTGATAGAAGGTCACACCAACGGTATCAACGGCACGAATGGCGTTGTGAAAGGTTGAGCTTTGTACACCGTAGACGACTTGTGGACCCTCAACCATGATAGACTAATTCTCGTGTAACTTTCTCAATGCCTTATCGCAACTACAACTCGATGCACGTTCAATTGAAGCATTTCAATCAAAAAGTAGCCAGATTCAATCATCAAGACACCATGCTGGGCGACCAATATTCAAAGCGACGTGACAGAACAGGGTCCAAGATAGCCCCGCCCATACCCGCCGGTGCATTTCCCGACGCGAAGCCGACCGTTTCGGGGACATGCCAACGCACCAAAGCAACACAAAGACATGAACTCACAGTCACGATTAGCAGCGGACCGCCACCACCACCATCCCCATCCTCCCGCGCGCGAATCTCCACAAAGATAACCTAAAGTGCGGGGGCCCCAGTCCACGAAGCACCGGGCCACGGGCGTCGTCAGGCCAGACTCGCCAGAAAATGGGAGATCTCGGCAGATGCCCCTTGCGTCGGATCCTCTTCCCCGTACCCGAAATGGGAATACCACCCCGGAACCGGGGGGGCGTATCCGGCCCAAAAGCAAACAGAGGAGTCGACGGCCGGCAGTACCCGCCGGACACGTGCAATCAACTGACAAAGCAGGAAAAATGGCGAGTAATACACAAACGATGATTGGGATAAGTATCTTTCCCTCCAACTGCGGGACGGAGAACAAAGACCACCTGTGGCGTAACTTGGTTCGTCTTAAGTAGCCTGTCTGCGAACCATCCTCGACCTGCTCATCGCCCAGCTTCACCATTTCGCAGTTTTGTCGTGAAAGAAAAAACACACTCAACACTATCAATCATGGGCTCATTACAGAACAAAGATGTCGGCCTCGGCCAAGACTTCACGAAGCAGGTCATTGCCTCCATGGGCAAGGAGACCGACCCCAGGCTCCGTGTCATTCTCACTTCCTTCATCCAGCACATCCACGACTTTGCGCGTGAGGTCGATCTCACCACGGATGAGTGGATGATGGGCGTCAATATGATCAACTGGGCGGGCCAGATGAGTAACGACCGTCGCAATGAGGGTCAGCTCCTGTGCGACGTTATTGGACTCGAATCGTACGTATCGCAGGAACACAAATGTCAATGTGAGTTAGACTGACACCGGAGACAGGCTTGTTGATGATATTACAAACCGGGTGGCGACGAGGAACGGCCAGCCCGGCACCGCGACGGCTATCCTCGGCCCCTTCTGGCGCGCCGACACTCCCGTTCGCAGCAACGGCAGCACGATCGTGCTCAAGGTCCCAGAGGACGGTCAGGTTGCGTGGATGTACGGTCAAGTAACATGCTCCAACACCGGAAAGCCGTTGGCCAACGCGTCGGTTGATGTCTGGCAAGCCTCAACAAATGGTATGGAACCCCTGAATTTTCAGATGCAGGGGCATCAATCTGATATGCTTTTTAGGTTTGTACGAGCAACAAGACGCTGATCAGCCTGAACACAACCTGCGTGGCGTGTTCAAGACTGACTCGGAGGGCCGCTACGGTTTCTACTGCCTGCGACCGACTCCCTACCCCGTGAGTATTGACGCTGAATAGCCATGAACAATTTCCTTGCTGACATGATGCACAGGTTCCCGACGATGGCCCAGCTGGAAAACTGCTGGGACTTCTTCACCGCCACCCATACAGACCGGCTCACATTCACCTGATTGTAAGATACTCCTAACTCCTGCCACTGTAAAAGTATCCATCCTAACAGCTCTACAGGTCCGCTCAGAAAGCTTCCAGTCTGTCACGACACAAATCTTTGACGAGGACTCCAAGTACCTCGAGGATGACTCTGTCTTCGCAGTGAAGGATGGCCTCACTGTGAGGTTCTTGGAAAGGAAAGGCGATGTCAAGGCTCCCTGGGAGCTTGAGTACAACATCAAGTTGGTCCCCAAGTAAGTAGCATGATGGAACGGCGTTATTATCCTTGGCGTTTGGCGGCTTAATGAGATAAAGATTGATATCCACTTGGTAACTGACAGCTGGGACCTGTGCGTGATTGCTACATGAGTTTTTAGGGACGATGGGGTTTTACAGCTGCTTCATGCCTTCCATGGGTAAACCGTCTTTCGAAAGGAGAGGCAGAGAAGCTCCCACAGCGCAACCTACTATTATTGAAAGCTTTCGGAGGTCTCGAAAAGGCTATGAATCACTTGCGCTTCCCCCGGATTCACTATGCCATGCGCGGTGTTGGGCACGACGAGTCTTCGGACATGAGATGATGCCTAGGACAAAGTTGACTTCATGATTTCTGCTAATCACTGATTATGTTTTTTGTTCACCATGTTCCTCGCATAGTCATGAGACCCTATAAAAGATTCGCGTTCCCATTTGAAAACTTGCTTCCGATCTATCACAGCAGCAAGAAACCACCGCATCGACAATTAGAACTTGTCACCTTCAACGCTCAAACTAGCAATCATGGCCGTCCCTTCTCCTCGCCCTACTCCCCCTAGCGGTGGGAGCCCGGCCAAATAATAAACCAATTGCTTGCGGACGCACCAAAGCAAGATCAAGACACAGTGTTTCGAGTACGCGGCGTATGACTCACTAAGTCTCTCAAAAGCTTCGCATTACCGGACGCATTAGAATAATAATACAGTCTTTGGTCAGAGAAGGCCCCTCACGGCCTTTCATTTCATACTCGCTCGTCATTCAACTATGTGCAACACCAGCATCTAAACTTCCAAGCTTCCAAGATACCTAAGGAATACATTACAGAGAAAAAGCCGAAGTGATAAAACCCAGCCAATGCAACCATCCTCAAAAAAAAAGTCGAGTACTTAACATGTATAGCTTCAGTGTAGATCAACCTGATGGGTGCTCAGTGCCGAAGATCTATCCCAGGACCTTAGCTGTTTTGCAGAAAGATATTATTTAGATGCGAATCTCTTTTAAAAATTCGTCCGCACATGTTTTCCGCGGCTTGAAGTATGCTCCTTGACTTTTAGCAATGCAGATAGAAAGTTCCATGTCTGCCCCCTATGGGGAACCTTTCTTTTTGGGAGTCTACCCGCTCTCTCAGGTAAACCATCTTTGATCAGTTTCCTCCGGAGTAGTCCTCACTTTCCCAGGAAGGCCAAGCCGGAGCAGGGCTATTGCTACCAGAGCAGTTCGAGTAGAAAACTGGATTTTCAGGCTCCACGTCCTCGTCTAGGCCCACAGGATACGTTGGGAAGATTCCCACGGAGAAGCTACCAGGTGTTCCCTTCCCATGGGACCAGAACATGCGGAAAGGTATGAACTCAGAGGCGTCCCTGAAATAAACGAAAAAGCGGTAAAGCCACCCGCTATCGTTCGGCACGACGATATCGGCGTTACTGGCGTTGAAGGCCCCAGACTTAGCCTTGTCGCCGAACCACACAAACATGACATCCTCGCGTGGGGATTCGGTCACGAGAAACTCGTAAGCGCCGGGTAAGGTGGCTTTTATATAGCCGCGGTGCACAAGGATGTTGCATCTCATACTAGATCCAGGGGGACCTTCGACGCCGCCATAGCTGATGGGTACGCTGTCATCTCGCTGGTAATAATCAGGATACCGCTCAATGCCGACGCCAACAGGACGTCGGTCTTGGAGGAGACCTTTGATGTCGTAGTTGGGAGGCTCGAAGTATGGGTCTTGGAGCATATTCTGGCACAGGTCTGATTCCTCTTTGATAATATGAAGCGCGAACTCTGCACCGACTGTGCACGAAGGGGATGCAGAATAGGACGTGGGTGTTGCGGTCGTCGTAACAGCAGGTGTGCTGATAATATTTGAGGATGAAATTGTGCTGCTCATTGTCGCCGCACCCGCCACTATCGTGATGGTGGTGGCCTTGATCCCGGTGAAGCATTGGCAAGCGGACCAGTAGGCGATTGGATCGGGACAAGCGCTGGCATAAGTAGGCTTGATACCCGTGACAATCGGCACCGAGGGTTCTTCGCGCGATTGCGGTGTGTCAGTGGGTGGTTTGATACAACGTCAGTCGATGATTGTAATGTCCGAAAGACGTGGCACAATCCATACCCACGTGCGACTGTGACAAAGGTAGTCACGAACTCTGAACACAGAGATGATCTTGTGGAGAGAGGAGGGTCTCGTCGTCCTGCTCCAGCGACTTGCCGACCGCAGTTATTGCTGCAGCTTGCAGCAAGCACCAGCGCGGGCGCAACGGAGAATATGGTCAGGAATGTGGAAATATTCATTTCGATGGAAGTAGAATGGCCCCTGGTGGTGAAATCTGAACTTCACCCTGATGTTGAGGAACAGAGATCGCGGCCGAAGTTGTGCGGGTAATCTTGGGCTTAAGTGCCGAATATCTACAGCTTCATCAGAATCGCGCAGCATATTTGGACCATCTCGAGATGACTTATGTCTCAGCGCGTCGCATAGAGTGGTGGTGTCTTAACCTCATTTCCCCAAGACAACAGCTTGACCGCGTGATGTTATGCTGCCAATGTTGACAACGCGGGGCATGAACTCAGCTGCAAGGGATCAGTATATGAGGTCTCGGAGCGTAGAGGTAAAGAGGCTGAGATATTATTTTTATTTCTGAGCCACTCAGCTCTACATTCAATGGTGGCTTATGAAGGGGGAGCTGCGCTGAGTGCACCACTATTCCTATATTGGCTGCCGCTGAACAAAACTGCAGCTCAGTGTCTTCAAGTCAGATACACGACGCAGGCAGTCTGAGAGGCGCAATTGGCTTTGGCATTGTTTCTCCCCAAGACTTGTCTGATCAATCAAAATGCTATATGCTAACTAAGATTCTTTTCTAGATCCAATCTCTGAACTGCTCTGGGATCGTGAAGGATCAACCTAGAATGCGCACGCAGACCAGACATGAGCTCTGAGGCCGCAGCAATTAGAGCCACCAACGTTATTCCAAGTTGGGTGGGTTGCGGTGTCGAGATGCCGTCAACGGCGGAGGTGGCCGTCGCAGTTGGGGAACGCTTCTTTGAGTGCCTCCAATTGTACCGAAACTGGAAGCAGACGTTGCCATTGGTCCAAAGGCCGCCGCAGGTCGCGAAATTCAACGACCCGGGCTCTCCTCTCCTGGTCAACTATCCATGGTATTAAACTGGGATGGCGTGGGCATCGATTCGGCGAGATACCTTCTGTCTCATCCTCTTTCCGTGACCCACAATCATGTTCTTCCGCGCTGAAGTGACGGTGTCGTTACTTTTCAGAAGAGAATGGCTTCGACATTGTGGATGAACGAAATCAGTCGCGGCGTGCAACGCCAGAGGAATTGCAAGAACATCCAAGGATCTTGCCTCATCGCTCACTTAACTGCATTGACGAGAAGGCGACTCTAGGGCTTGACGTTGAAGCAAATCCCATGCCGACCTCCCTTGAAGCCGTGGCGACGGTAGTTGATCCAATGGAAAAGCAGATCAGAGCCGCTGAGCAAAATCTTTGGTCCATGATTGGTAGAAGCTTGCAGGAGAGTCTCCCAACAGCAACGGCGACACCAGTGCTATCTCCAAGAGCATAAGTATGTTTGAATTAGTGGGAAAAGGTTGATGTATTCGAGCTTTGTATGCACTGGAGCCGATACAGTGGCGTTCAACAAGATGAGTAGTCGCTGGAATCAACACATTGAGAGATCGCATGCACTGTGCGTGAGAATCTCACCATACTTCTATGACAGATCCAAACATACATCCGGAATAAGGTCTGGATCCTCCCTCCACTTAGAAAGAAGCTCTTGTCTGTCTCGTCCAAACTTATGTGAATCGAATGCTTCTTCATAACGCTCCTCAACTTCGCCTGCGGCACGATAAATCTGCTCAGAGTCACGCGCCCAGTCCTGCTCACGGAACTGAGCTGGCCAGTCGTAATGTCTCAGTGCCTTGCCAATCACCTGACCAAGAATGTCCTGCCAATAAATTCTCAGTTTATAAACCCTCGGAGCTTGGGGTTAGGCGACTGCGTTGAGCTTACAGATGAAGTGCTCCAGTACTCGCCTTGACTTGAGGCCGGAACGAGTTCAAGATTGACTACGTCCTGAATCCACATCCGTAGGACAGTTGGCGCATGGTACATTGGCCAGTTTCTGTTGATCCGGGTCGTCCGGTCGTTCAACCGGGTAGTCCTGGGGAGGGCCACCCGGAACCCCTCTGGCAGGAGCTTCGAGAGACCCAGAAACGAATCTGAAGGCGTCTTAATTGATATCCCCGTCAGCTCAACTGTTCGAAAGTCTACGGAAGGCAGTACCTAGGGCCATAAATGACATAGGCTTGGGTGAAAGGAAGATAAGATACATACTATGACTTAGATCCAGGATCCAGGCAAGACCATCACTCTCATCAGGGCGGGCTAAGGCGATGTCTTGAGGCAGGAGGTAGCTGGCATCATTCAAGCTATCAGGGTGGGCAGAATACTGCGCCATATCGTGCGGATCGCGACAACCGTTCACATCATCCTCCTCCAAGTAATTTATGGCGTCGGCCTCGCGATAAATGCGCATGGGCCGGTACGACGCGTTGCGGGGGTAAGGCAGCCGCTCAAGGAGTGAGACAGCCTTCGGGGTCATCCCTTTCTCTTTCAACAAACGCTGGGTATCCAGCTGAGCGTGCCTCCCCGTGTCTTCCTGCGGGAATATAACATCCTCGCGTTTCCAAAAGTTAAGCCTCAGTAGCATGGCGTACATGTCGCACCAGAGGGAGACAAATTCGTCCTCCCGGAAGGCTGCCGCAGAGCCCACAGCAGGCTGCGTCCAGACTAGTGGTGCCATTTTGGTTGGAAGCGTCATTATGGGTGGGCTATTGCTTGTATGTGGCGTTGTTGTGGATAGTCTACGTGAGGCTATTAATGAGCAAAGAGGGGTTGAAGAAAAGTAGATTCAGGATGCCGACAACCAACAGACTTGAGATGAACGATTGGCGGACTTCAGGGCGTTAGTCAGCTGGCGCAAAGCGCAAAACATCTCTCAGCTGGATACCAAGCCCGTTATCTTCAGCCTGGGCTTAGAATGCCAAGCATTGCTCTCGCGATATAAGACCAGACGGCGTCAGAGTGCAGGAACTTGGATAATTCAGAGATAGTCCAAGGGTTTTGTGTCTAGTTTCGGATTCCGAATTACGAAGGGGTGGACGCAGGCTGGCATCATATAGGCTCGTAGCATATGCTCCTCGGAGCAGCGTCTCTGTAAGTGCAATTGGATTGATAAACTATTTAACCTAAGTAGTTAAAGTGAGGCTATCTCTATCCCTTAAATAGTTAATTCAACCCCCTCTAATTAAATTAATTAACTTAATATCTTATAATCTAGCTAATAAAAAGCTATAGAGTAGTTAGGGCTTTATTTATTTAGGTATACTTAGCTATTAAAATATACTATTATTACTAACTTCTTAATTACTATATGTCCTAATAAAGCTTTTTAGAATACTTTTACAATACTAGTTAGTAGTTAACTTTTTTTAAAATCTCTAAAAGGATAGAAGTAATTATAGTAAATTAAATAATATAAATATTATTAAGATTAGATACTATTTATAAAAGATATTTAGTATTTTATTTTATATTTATTATTTATATGTATTATTATTTTTATTACTTTTAAACTGAAGATATCTATTATTATTATTATTTTACTATTAACTGCTAATATATATACTATTTTAGGCGTTTTATATTTTCAAATTTTTTATAGATTATAAATGCTTTTATTACTGCTATTTCTCTAAATTTTATAATTAATAACTTTATATAGATTATTGAGTTTATAGTTCTAACACAGCCTCCCCGCAAAAAGACTACAGCAAAATTCACCCTATATGCAGGCATAATTCTAGAAACACTATATAGGCACTTTAACCTATACCCTCTACTAATTAAGGAAAACAGTATAGAAACCCTATACGTTCCTACTAGCAGGTAAACCTTCTGAACATCACTGCATAAAGTCGAACGCGCGCCCTGGCTGAATAAACCAGCGGAATAGCAACAGCGCCAGCTACACAGCGTGAGGCTAGCAGCAGCGGCGCCGCACATAGCGGGGCCGATTATATTAACGCTAAATAGGTCACTGAGGCTCTTATAGCCTGGCAACGCCACCACATAAAAGATAACTCCTTAACTAAAGGGGTCGTCAGAAGAGGTTCTCACACCTAGAAGCATAGTGCGGCTGAAGTTAGGAGAGTTATAGTCATATGACTGAAGGCTTTATGTATTGTCAGGAGGCGTAGAGTTAGGAGGTCTGTCGCTCTAAGCAGGTAAAAATCATATTGAACAGCTAGAGGCCTTATATAGATTATTATAAGTAATAAGAGGTATATATTTAAAATATAACTATTATAAAAGTGAAGGTAGGATTAATTTAGTTAGATTTAAGATTATAATACCTTTTTTATTAAGACTATTTAAGGCTATACTAAGAGGTTTTTTTAAAGTTATAATGAGTATAACTTAAAAGGTAGCTTAAGGGTTTTTAGTATTACTGCTATATCTATTCTTATAGAGTATTTATTTTAGTATAGTTATTTTAGTTTTCTCTTTATATTAATTATATTTTAATAATACTAAAATATTTATAATATATATAAAATCTCTCTCTATTTAGATAAAAACTCTAATAATATTACTTCTCTATTATTAGTATATATATTAACCTCTCTATTACTAAAGAGGTTTTAGTTTAGTAATTTAAATATCTTAAAAACTAAAACAATAACTCTATGCGATCTCTATATAATTACTATTATCTCTATTAATCTCTTTTGTTTTATTTTAAAAGTACCCATTTTTAGTAAATACTATAGTATTATAGTATAAAGATTACTAATAAGATATTATAGAAGTGTGTATCTATTTATAACTATTTAGATAATATCTATTAGTATAAAAATAAGCTATTAATAGTAGAACTTTATTTAGTAGTTTTAAAAATCTATTTATTATTTAATCTATAGTTATCTCTAAATATTTATATTTTTATAGCTATTATTTATTATTTTATTAATAATTATAAAGCTGCATAATTTTATGTTTTTAGCTTTCTATTAATATTATAGTAATTATAGTAGTGTTATCTTTTTAGAGACTTTTATTAATATAGTTAATTAGTAATAAATTTAAGATTAAATTAAAGTAGTAGTTTCTAATAATGTTATAACTAATAATAGCTATTTCTAGGCTTTTTATTAGAATTTTAACTTAGAGATAATAGAGATAAATATAAAAGCTTAGTATATATAGTATTATAGCTATATCTTTAATCTTATAGTTTAAGTATTCCTCTTTAGCGTTAATAAGGGGACTTTGAAAATTAAGTTAGATTGCTATTAGTTAATAGACTAGTATAAAGAGAATCTTAAGCTTTAATAGAAGATTAGCTTTATTAGCTAGCTTTATAATATTATTAAGTTTATTTAGTTATTACTATAACGTTATAAATAGTATTAAAAAGCTGTAGTAGATATTAATAGAGATTCTAAGGATTTCTAGATCTTCTGAAAGTCATACTAAGAGGCTTTTTTTATTTTAAATAATAGTACTTAATAGAATAATATATATTTTATAATCTAGAGAGCTATAGAGAAGAAGATAGAGATCTAAAGCTTTATATTATTAAATAATAATAATATAGATGTTAAATAATATATTTTAGAAGTAGATCTTCTCTTTTTAAATAACTAGAAGGTATTAGTTAAGATAAATACAATTTTAAAGCTTTTTTATTATTAGATAAAAAGATACAAGAGATAAGTTGTTAGTAATAGTTATAATTAATTTTAAGAGGTTATAATAAGTATAGAATATCTTTTTTCTTATTTATTAAACTAGAAAATATATCATAAAGTTATAATCTCTTTATTTACTAATAATAATCTTAAGGATTATTTATAGTAGTTATAACTATATTTAAGTTAGAGTTATTACTACTAATTTTATATATAAGCTTTTTTTATTTATATTCATAAAGATTAAATATTATTAGTTTATAATTAGCTTTATAATTTAATTTACTTAATAAGAGATAATAGGTTCTTTTCTATAGTAGTATTAAATAGGCTTAATAGAAGTTATAGAAGTATTATAAGTTAATAAGAGATTTATTATCTTTTTCTACAGTAATTATTTTATTTTTATTATTTAGTATATTATATTTGTATAATACTTAGTAAAAGAATTACTACAAAGAGTAAGTTGATAATACTTTAAATAGCTTTGTCACGGGCTAGAGCCTGGATTGATATCTCCGGCTTCGCTGGAGCAGTTACTGAGATCTGGCTCCGTTGGACCCACTATTCTGCCGCAGTACGCCGCCTAACCCAGCCTGCTTCACCGCTGTTAGGTGCCTACCCTTGTAAAGTCCTTTCTTCCTTCTTCAGCTTAGAACAGTTAATTGACGGCACCTCTATGTTGAATAAGCCTAGGGGCTAGCTCCTTACACTTTATAAATTATTTTAATAAGTAGTATTATAAATAACAGCTAGAGGATATACTAGCTAAGTTAGAAGTAATACTAATAAAATATCTTATTAATCTTAAAGTTTAAAGTAATAATAATATTTGCTTTTAATAATAAGTTAATAGCTAGCGCTACTAAGTATTGTTTTAGGTTAATAAGCTTAATATCTTTTTCTAGAGGCTTCTAGAGGTTATTAATAACTTTACTATATAGTAGCTATAGTAATTAGAGATATTCTTAATACTCTATTAGCTTACTATTAATATTTTTGCTATATTAGCGATATCTACTAATTATAAAAAGGTTTTTAGTTGAGCTAAATTAACTTTTACTTTATAGAGGTTTGTAATAAGTTATACTATATATAAGTTCTAAATAGTATTCTTTATTTACCCTTAAGTAATTACTTAAGTATATAGGTAATTATAATTAGTTAGTAATACTAACTAATTATTAAACGTTCTTTTTTGTACTCTACTAATTATTTTTTATTTTATTATTATATAATTTATACTATAGTTCTTTTTTTCTAAATAAGTCCTTATTATTCTTATAATCTTATAGTATAAATATCCTATTCTAGCTGCCTAACGCTTAAATAGGTCGTCTAGCTGTTATCCTTATTTGTAGGTTATAACACTATACTGTTTATATTGAAATCATACAGTAAAAGGCGTATTGGGTTTCACCAAAATCGTTACTTAACATCTTTAGTAGTGGTGGTGTGGAGCCGTGGGTCACTTGGCTTGGCAGATTATACTTGTAGTGAGCAGGTACTCAGGGAGCAGTCGCTAACAGAGCCAAAACTGAACAGAACCTGAACTAGACAGAGCCAGAATTGAACGCAGCCAAAATTGGCTTACCAGTAAGCTGTCATGGACCCAGCCCGTCTAAAAACTGCCGGGTGCCCATGTTTGCTCCGCTGGCTGTCGTCCCATCGTTCTCCCTTCTTATTCCTGAGTCGAGACGACGCTCTGGCATCAGATATTGTTATGGCGCCGCAACTCGATGCCGCACAGCGTTCCCTGATCAAGACTTTACTAGCGCAAGGATTCGAGAATCAGCTTATTGCTTCAAAAGCTTCATGCTCTAAACATACCGTTCAGAAGATGCGTCTCGAAAGACCAGATTCTGAGATGCCCACCCGAAAACCAGCTCGTGTCGGCCGTCGCAGCCGCATGACAACACGTATGCAGAAGGCCCTTTGTGATAGACTAATCAAACAGCCGTATATGTACCGGTGCGAGATGGCGGACTTCCTTTATCGCCACTTTGCGACGAGATTATCGGAGCGATCCATCGGTCGGACCTTGCGATCAATCGGGTGGACGAGAAAGACTATCCGCCGCATCGCACAACAGCGGGATGACGACCTTCGAGACCACTACCTACACCGCATATCGCAGTATCAGTCTTATCAGCTTGTCTTTGTTGACGAGTCTGGCTGTGACAGGCGGGCGGGATACCGGCGTTGGCGGTGGTCTCCAAAAGGGTCTTCCCCAGTAGAGACGACGAAGTTTGGTCGAGGGAAACGATGGCATATCCTTCCAGCATACGCACAAGATGGCATCGTGCTGAGGCGAGTACAGTAAAAGGCGTAATGGGTTTCGCGGGATTGCCTACATAACATGTTTAGTGGTGGTGGTGTGGAGCCATAGCTCATGTGGCTTAGCAGCTGACGCCCGTAGCGAGCAAGTACTCACAGCGCAGGTGTTAACAGAGGCAGAATCCGAGCGAGCCAGAAATGGACACAGCCAGAACTGGACACAGCCAGAAATGGACACAGCCAGAAATGGACACAGCCAGAAATGGACACAGCCAGGAATAGGCAGGAAATGGAACGAGGCCAGAAGAACGCAGCCAGAACTGGTTTACCAGTAAGATGTTAGGGAACGAGCTAGTCGAACAGCTGTTGGTCCGCCCTTCCCCGGCCTGAACCTCGTCCCATCTTTCTCTCTTCCACTCAACCAAAAATGGCGTTGTAACGACCGCAGTTCCGCAATCACCGCGTCTTGACGTAGTTTTCCATGCCCAGTATATGACGGTATAATAAGCTTAACCTAATAGTTTATGAAGGTGTTATAGTATAGATTGGCGGGCTGTCAACACTATGAGGACGATTTCGACAACGATAAGTTCCAGTAACCAGCTATGTAGAAGAAGTCGCATCCCTGCTCGATAGACGCAGGATGATGAATTGCGATAGCAAAAGTTATGATCTGTCTACAGAGCACTAGCGCCGTATTCATAACATCTCTCTAACTATTCAGAAGCATCTATTCTCTAGGGGTATTATAGAAACTTATGACTAGTTTCCCTGAACTCTAGTTCCCAGTTCGACAGGGCTGATACGGCAAATATAGTATCTGGGTGATCCATACCAAGAACGTTCCCTCTGAGGCGAACACAATGCTGCAGAAGCTGAATCGCATCTTTCCACCGATTCTGAGATTTCCAAGTATCAGCCAGGTTGTACATGCTCGTCAGCGTGTCGGGATGCTCCTCTCCAAGCACCCTCTTCCTCGTCTCCATCACCCGCACCTCCAGCTCCTCGGCCTCCTTCCATCGGCCTTGGTTCCAAAACGTCAACGCCAGGTTGCCCATGCTTATCAGCGTTGAGGGATGCTCCTCTCCAAGCACCCTCTTCCTCATCTCCATCACCCTCACCTCCAGCTCCTCGGCCTCCTTCCATCGGCCTTGGTTGCTGTACGTCGACGCCAGGTTGGCCATGCTCGTCAGCGTCAAGGGATCCTCCTCTCCTAGTCTTTCCGTCCTGATCCTAATAGCGTCTTGTACTAAAACCTCTGCCCTAGAATAGTTGCCAAGCATCACCAAGTACCACGACACATTCGTTAGTAACTTGCTCCATTCCAGGCGGTTGCGTTCTTCTGACGGCGGTTTGTCCAATAAAGGCTGCATATGGGGCATCAGCGTTTGACACTGCTGCCACGTTTCAAATACGCCTGATGGAAAGTGTCGTGAGGCTGATTGAAGAAAGAGCGTCTTCCATTGGTCAGCAGAACCAAATTTTGAGATCCAAAGTTTGGTGCAAAATTGCACTAGCGAGTGCATCTCTAAGACACCCGGCGTTGCTGTCATGGTAACGAGTGAGTAGCCCCGGAGCACGTCCAGGTCATCCTCGAAGTCGACACCGCTGGTTTCCCCATGCCTATCATTGGCCTCTTTAGAATCTGTGTTGCCGCTGTTATAGTTGTGCAACATATACTCTGGGATATTTTGTGCTTGGAAAAAGCTCATCAGTGAAAGAAGGTTCGCCGCCCGCGGCTGCTCCCGTTTGATTTGTTCAAACGTTAACTGCCACGTCACTACAACGGAATTGGACACGCCTGCGTAACGTCGATTGTCTCCTGTATTGAGGCGAAGCAGTAAGTCTTTTCGGTTTTCGCTGTTGCGGAATTCCTCCAAATACGACTCAACGGTCACCCGAGGACTTCGTGTGTATATGTACGCGGCTGCTTGGTTGATGGCGAGCGGAACATAGTCGAGGGTGTCGATCAGGCGCAACACAGCAGCCTCGTTATCATCTCGGCCACTTTTCTTTTGAAAGAGTTGTAGTGCCTGTGCTTCCTCCATTGTTGGGACCCTGAAAATCATCTTGACGTTACCAGTCAACTCGTCCGCGGCGTCCCAGCTGCGCGACGTGATCAGGATCTTGCCGTTTTCTCTCTTAGGTAGATACGATAGATACGTTTCATCAGTATTCTTGGAGATTAGCATCTTGACATCATCTGCATTGTCGACAATCATCAGCCACGGGCTTACATCCTCTCTTTGTAGCCAGTCGCGGACCAGTAGTAGGACATTGGCGTCAGAGTCGTGGCGACGGGGCAGCGCTAGCACTTCTGCTATAGAGCGATAGGACTCTTCGAATGTCGCCTTCGTGCTTCCGTGGACCCAGAAGACGCTGGTTTTGGGTGAGGTAGCGTGGAGGTGGTGAGCGAATTGGATGGCCATCTGGGATTTGCTGTCGCCTTGTTAGTAGAGACCTTTTAATGCAGCTGTTACAACGTACCCAAATCCGCCCATGCCCACAAGAGCGAAGCGGCTTTCAGGCCCAGCATATTGCTTTTCAATCCATGTCCAGATGTCGGACCGGCTCACGAAATGGGGATCGGAAGGAAACGGTACAACGAAATGAGGATTGCGGGCAATAGAAAGGTCTTCAACTTTGCTGAGCTTGAGATCTTGTATACCTTGTTGAAGGTCGACATAGAAAACCCTGAAAAACTCAGAATGGAGTTTGTTTAGGTAGGTGGGCAGCTTGCTCGTACCTTTGCTCAGAATGCACTGTCTCAACTGCCATCTTTGTCTCATTTGTCGTCTGGTTCAACCGCTGTACATCTTTATGAACTATTCTATATTAGACGGTACTAGGTAAATTGCGTGTAGAATACTAACTAGAACCAAGTACTTCGCTAATTGGCTTCTCAGCTTCGACACTGGTTGGCGCAATCTGAAGTAGAAGATCCTTCGCGTATGCTGCAGCCGTCATAGCCGCGAAGCCTTGCCACTCCTTGTTTTTGTGCGAGTCAGAGTAATCGCATATACCGCGGATAACCAAGCACGGGAAGTGGTTCATCAGGCCGGCTGCTTCCATCTCAAAGCATAAGACGCCCTTTTCCGCCGAAAGTTTGTCTCGTATCTTGGCATTCTTCATCACCTGGTTTGCGGAAGCAATTAGTCCATAATGGATAGTAGGGCTGTCTTCGTGTTCACCCCGTTCGTCTCGAGAAATGATATTGGCGGTGTTTGCGGGGCATGTCTGAGAGCAAGGTGCAGAAGACTCGAGCGGGTGGGCGAAGTCTGGTGTGTAGAGCCGATCGGCACTTGCAGGCGGGCGTGAGTGTGTTTTCTGAAGTCGTTTCCATGGAGTCAAGGCCTTTTCGACCTTGGAGTCGAGTTCAGGGCCCTGCATCATATACTCGGTCTCGAGTGCGGCAACGGCGTTTAGCAAGGCTGGTGGCGGTTGGTTTAAGCTCCCGGTTTCAACGAAGGCCTGATTCTGCATCATCTTGCCGTAGTCATACTGAATGACGCCGCCTTTTCCACCATCACGACTTCCGACAACCACATCGCCGAGGCGTACGTCGTGTTGTTTGCTTGGGGCGCCGCCTCCAACACCAACCATCAATCCAATACGGATATTAGGGAAGCTGTGGACCATGTCTCTCGCCACGGTAGCGGCAGCAGCAATACCATACTCTCTCTTAGGCATAACAGCAATGACAATGTTGTGCTTTCCAATCGTTCCGAGAGTGTAACTGTTGTTGTCATTCCGTGAGACCGCTTCAGGGGTGGCATGTTTTTCATCGAGAAAGGTGCGGGCGGCAGCCAACTCGGTGGGAATAGCGCATATCCAGCCGACAGTGTAGGATTGGAGATTAGGCATGTTCGGTAGAAGACACGCGGCTGCTCGTAAAAAGAGAGTCGATTGAGATGGGGAGAGAAAGGCGATGGAGCATGGCGGGTGTCCTCGTCTATTTGTTGGACCCAAGATCAGGCTGGCAGCAGTCAGCTAGATCGGAGCGGGGTGCACGGGGGCTGCTCTACCGATTGATTGGCGAAGAGCATGCTGACCATGCCTCTTGGATGAAGCGCGAGAACCAATTGAGACATGCCATGATATGTATGTCTGCAGCGGTGCAGCAACGCCTTGTTGGTGCAGGGCATGGCGATGTTGTTATTGGCGCGCGGTGGTGCCAAGTGGAAGAGGAAGCGGAACGCCTGCCACTCACAATTGAGCGGAAGCGGGGTTGGTGTTGGATGGATTGGCGCGTCATCCACTCCCAAGACTGAGATCAGGCTGTCAGCCCGTCGTCGTGCGATGCAGCGGATCGTCTTTCTCGAGGCGCGTTTTCTGAACGGCGCGTAGGGAGCATAAGGGAGGCAATCAGCCCGTTGTCGAACCCTTGCGTCGTAGAATCGTGAACGGGGACCGCTCTGCGGCATCCAGTTGCGGCGCCATGGTGACAGCTGATACCGAACCGGCGCCATCTTCAATTGAGGAGAGAGAAGGAAGAGCGATGGGACTCAAGCCTGGCAGAGGAGATGGGCGTCCAGCGATTCTTGGTCAGGCAGGGACCCTGCAGTCAACAAGTAAGCCGTGTCTGGCTGTAATCATTATTTGCTGCGTCCAATTCTGGCTGTGCCCATTTCTGGCTCTGTTAACGCGTGCGCTGTGAGTACTTGCCGGCTACGAGGGTGAGCTGCTAAGCCACACAAGCTACGGCCCCACACCACTACTAAACATGTTGTGTATGAAATTCCGCGAAACCCATTACGCCTTTTACTGTATACCAAGGATCAACAGACAGTGATTTGTTTGAGGACTTTATAGCTCAGCTGCTGCATCACTGCGGTAGGTATCCAGAGCCGAAATCCGTCATCGTTATGGACAACGCTTCGTAGCATCATTCAGAGAAGCTCGTGCAAATGTGTCGAGATGCAGGGGTAATACTGGAATTCCTTTCACCGTACTCGCCCGACTTCAACCCCATCGAGGAGCATTTCGGAGTCCTCAAAAGGTTCATCAAGAAAAAGTGGCATGAGAATGAAGACTTCATTGCCAGAGAGTTTAAGATGTTTCTAGAGTGGTGCGTCGACGTGGTGGGTGACGACGCCGGCGTTGCTGAGCGTCACTTTCATCATGCGGGGATATCTATCACGCATCCACCTGAACAAATTCATGTATAACAGTTAAAAAGAGGCCAAACCCAGGGAATCTCTCCTACTTTAAGGCTACTTCGTTTCCTGTCGGAACTTGTTGATGTTGCTCACGAACTGCAGTGCAATGCCCGGCTTCACTCCGCCCTTCACCATCAAATCAGCAGCCACCTTTGGGTGCTTCAGAATCGAGTTCAGTTCAAGAAACTGATCCATCGCGAACTGATTCGCGGCCTGCAGAGCTTCTCTCCACTTGTCGCTCTTGACTTGTTGCAGAGACCAGTTGCAATACTCCTCGAGTCTGTCCATCCTGTCACCCTCAACCTCCCCAGAGTTTTCAACGAAACTCGTCTCGCCCGTATCGCGAAGCCGGCCGTTAGACGACGCATGGGCTTTACAGCCACGACAGTCAACGGAGTCCTCTGCCTTCCGCTTGCGGCTATCGTTCAGTATGTCCCCAAGGATTTTGGATGGAATCTCGATGTCGATGTCAGCCTCCTCCTCTTTCTCCCCTTCCTTCATACCCCCTTTGATGTGGTGGAAAATCTCTTCCAAGTGCCTCGGCAGCAACCTATGGTGGTTTCCTCGTTCGTCAAGCCAGCAGTGCGGTCCCTGCTTGCAGTATTTGCCTCGGCAGCGATGATGCTTGTACACTCGGGTCCAAAGACCGGCATCGGCAGCTCTCTGTAGCTTTTGAGCCTCAGTAGCGCTCTGCCCTTTCTTCTTGCCCTTGGTCGCCGTAGGGTCGCTCGTGACTTCCTTGTAAACAAACTCAATGCCAAAGGTAATCTTCCTCCTCTTGCTGAACAAGGCGCCAAGGCCTTCCACATGGCTGTCGAGCATATCCCAATCAATCTCAAGGCCCGTGAATCGTTTTTTCAGGCCGCGCTGACGGCTTCGCTCGATGGATATGTCGACAATCGTTTCTTCACACCTGTACGTATCTCCTGGGAACTTATTCTCATCTTTCAACAGCGTTGCAAGCCGTGGCTCAAAGTCGATCGTCCAGAAATCGCTTGGGGCCAGGACTAGATCGAGGTCTGTATCTGAACAAGCTTGCCTTGCTCGGATCTTCTCACGTTGGGAGACCTTCCACCGAAAATCGTAGTGAATGCACTTAGGGTTGTTTTTATCGTACTATTTGGTGCTGTTCCAATCACTCAGTCGGAGAAGAGGTAGCGCACGATCACCACTTGGCTGATCGGTCGGTTCGGGAACGGAGCCGGCACGTTCGGGGGTCAAGCTGGGTTCAGCGGTCGGTCCATCTCTGGGACTGTCGGATGTCGGAAATTCGGGGGTCTCATAACTGATAGCACAGTCCTCGTCGAGCCAGTCAAAAGTCAAGCCTTCCATGATGGCGTGCCTTGTGAATGGATTGAGCTAGGTTGAGGCGGGATGGTTGCTACATTGCATCGTCGCTCGCCGGTGGCTGCGGGGGAAAACACGTGGCCCCTTCTGAAAAGTCTCCATGGGTTTCCACGGGTTTCTGCGGGTCGCCATGCTTGTTGATGGGAGCCTGGTCACCAAGACCATCCGACACGCCACCTTTAACCATACCCTTGTACGCTCCGCTCTGTCAAAACAAGGTTACTCTGATCGTCAGAAAACCGATGGGATGAACGAGACGGCCCAGTGAAGCACTATGGAGATGATGCCGACGCACAGGGCAAAAGCTGACCTTGCCTCTAATCCGTCTTTCCAGCATCGCCATTCTCGAGGGGCAGGCCGCTTTGAATCCACTTCTGCCCCTACACTACGTATAATCGCCCTTGACTCACCAATCAACAACCTCGTCATGCCCTGCGCCGACATGCACCGCCGTAAGCCTACATATCAAAGGGGCGCCCCGGTTGGTTCTCATGATTTATTCGAGAGTCACTGACCAAGCGACCGTAAGCTCTTCACCAATCCCCTGGCCCAACCCGCTGCATGCCCCAAATCCCTCGGTCGCATCCGGGTGTGACCAGCGCCAGCCTGATCTTATGTCCAGCGAATAAAATGAGGACACCCGCCATGCCTGTCTGTCCGATTTACCTTGACGCCTCATCTTTCATGTCTCCATTACCTTTCTCACCTAAGAATCCGCGTATTTTCAATTAGGTGAACAAGATCCAGCCATGTCTGATCCCCATGCCTACACTGTTGGCTGGATCTGTGCCCTTCCCACAGAGTTGGCCGCTGCCCGCACCTTTCTTGATGAACAACATCCCGCCCCTAAAGCGGTTCAACGGAATGATTGCAACACTTATACTCTCGGGACAATGGGGAAGCATAACGTTGTCATTGCAGTTATGCCCAAGAGGGAGTACGGAATCGCAGCTGCCGCTACAGTGGCGAAAGACCTGGTCCACAGCTTTCCCAACGTCCGCATCGGATTGATGGTCGGTGTTGGAGGTGGCGCGCCAAGTCAACAAAACGATATACGCCTCGGTGACATAGTTATTGGAAGTCGCGATGCTGGAAAAGGCGGCGTCGTACAGTACGACTATGGCAAAATGATGCAAAATCAAGGGTTCGTTGAAACCGGGAGCTTGAACCAACCGCCACCAGCCCTATTGAACGCAGTTTCCGGACTCGAGACCGAGTACATGATGCAGGGGCCTGAACTCGAGTCCAAGGTGCAAAAGGCCTTGATTCCATGGAAACGACTCCAAAAGACACACTCACGCCCGGATGCAAGTACCGATCAGCTCTACAAATCCGATTTCATCCACCCACTCAACTCTGATGCAGCTTGCTCCCAAGCATGTGAAGCCAACACCGCCAATGTAGTGTCTCGACACAAGCGGAGCGAAGATGAAGACAACCCTGCCATTCACTACGGACTCATTGCTTCTGCAAACCAGGTGATGAAGAATGCCGAGATACGAGACCAACTTTCGGTGGAAAAGGGCGTCCTCTGCTTTGAGATGGAAGCCGCCGGCTTGATGAACCACTTTCCGTGCCTGGTCATCCGGGGAATATGCGACTACTCCGACTCGCATAAGAACAAGGAGTGGCAAGGCTTCGCGGCCATGGTGGCGGCGGCGTACGCAAAAGATCTTTTACTCCATATTCCGCTAAACAGTGTCGAGGTAGAGAAGCCTATCCGCGAAGTTCTTAATACCAGTTAGTATTGCACATATAGTTCATCTAATACCATCTAATATTTATTAGTTCAGGAAGGTCTGCACGGCTTGAAGCAGACGGCGGATGAAACGAAAATAGCAGTCGAGACTATGCACTCTGACCACACGTGCGAGCAAATCCTCTCCTGCACAATAGAGCCACAGCCTGACTTCTTTAGGATCCTTCTTTTCGGCCTACAACAAGGTGTACAGGATCTCAAGTTCGGCAAAGCCGAGGATCTGTCCATTGCCCGCAATCCTCATTTTGTCGTACCGTTCCCTCCCGACCCCAATTTCGTGAATAGGCCCGATATCTGGGCATGGACCGAAACGCGATACGCTGAATCTGAGAGGCGCTTTGCTCTCGTGGGTCTTGGCGGGTTTGGGTATATCGCACCAGGTGCTATTCGAGGTCTGTACTGACAAAACCATAGCAAGTCCCAGGTAGCCGTCCAATTCGCTCATCAAGTCCGCGTCACCTCCCCCAACACCAGCATTTTCTGGGTCAACGCCAGCACGAAAGCGACATTCGAAGACTCATACCGTTCCATCGCAGAAGTCCTAGCGCTCCCCCGTCGCCACGACCCTGGGGTCAATGTCTTAGCGCTGCTCCGTGACTGGCTGCAGAAGGAGAACGTGAGCCCGTGGCTGATGATTGTCGACAATGCCGACGATATCGAGATGTTATTCTCCAAGATTAATAGTCAAACGGATGCGTCGATACCGATAGCATCGTATATCCCGAAGACGGATAATGGCAAGATCCTGGTAACATCGCGCAGCTGGGACGCCGCAGAGAAGCTAACGGGTAACGGCAAGATGATTTTCAGAGTCCCAACAATGGAGGAAGCGCAGGCCTTTCAGCTTCTCCAAAATAAACTTGACCAAGATGTCGACGAGGTCGCCGCCTTGCGCCTGGTCCACACCCTGGGTTGCATCCCGCTCGCCGTCAACCAAGCAGCGGCGTACATCCATAAAAGAAGCCGGGCGACCATCCAATCATACTTGGACGAACTCCAAAAGAGTGAAAAGCGGAAGGGCACTCTGCTGCGTAGTGACACAGGGGATATCCGGCGATACGACGGTGTATCGAACTCCGTCGTTCTGACGTGGCAGTTGACGTTTGAGCAGATCAAACGGGAGCAGCCCCGGGCGGCTAAACTTCTGTCGCTGATGAGCTACTTCCACGCACAAAACATTCCCGAGTATATGCTACGCACCTATAACAGTGGCTTAGTAGGTGATAACGAGAGCGACGACGACGACAACGACAACGACAACGACGACAACGACGACGGTGACTTGGAGGACGACTTGGATGTGCTCCAGGGCTACTCCCTCATCACAAAGACAGTCACATCAGGGTTCTGTGAGATGCACTCGCTGGTACAATTTTGTACACAGGTCTGGATTTCGGAATTTGGTTGCCCAAAGCGATGGAAGAGACTCTTCCTCCGGTCCGCCTCACATCACTTTCCATCGGGTGTCTACGAAACGTGGGAGAAGTGTCAAGCTTTAATGCCCCATGTGGAGCAACTACTGAACGAAGAGCCGGCAGAAGAAAGCGACCGGTTAGAATGGAGCGAGTTAGTGACGAACATTTCACGCTACTTACTCATGCTAGGCGACTATTACAGGGCCGAGACTGCTGTACTTCAGGCTGTTAGAATTCGAACAGAAAGTCTAGCTCAGGGGCATCCCTCTACGCTAACGAGCATGGCCAACCTGGCGTCGACGTTTTGGAACCAGGGCCGGTGGGAGGAGGCCGAGCAGCTAGAGGTTCAAGTGATGGAGACGAGCAAGACGAAGCTCGGGGCTGATCATCCCGACACGCTGACGAGCATGGCCAACCTGGCGTCGACGTACAGGAACCAGGGCCGGTGGGAGGAGGCCGAGAAGCTAGAGGTTCAAGTGATGGAGACGAGGAAGACGAAGCTCGGGGCCGATCATCCCGACACGCTGACGAGCATGGCCAACCTGGCGTCGACGTTTTGGAACCAGGGCCGGTGGGAGGAGGCCGAGAAGCTAGAGGTTCAAGTGATGGAGACGAGGAAGACGAAGCTCGGGGCCGATCATCCCGACACGCTGACGAGCATGGCCAACCTGGCGTCGACGTTTTGGAACCAGGGCCGATGGGAGGAGGCCGAGAAGCTAGACGTTCAAGTGATGGAGACGAGGAAGACGAAGCTCGGGGCCGATCATCCCTCCACGCTGACGAGCATGGCCAACCTGGCGTCGACGTACAGGAACCAGGGCCGGTGGGAGGAGGCCGAGAAGCTAGACGTTCAAGTGATGGAGACGAGCAAGACGAAGCTCGGGGCCGATCATCCCTCCACGCTGACGAGCATGGCCAACCTGGCGTCGACGTACAGGAACCAGGGCCGGTGGGAGGAGGCCGAGAAGCTAGACGTTCAAGTGATGGAGACGAGGAAGACGAAGCTCGGGGCCGATCATCCCTCCACGCTGACGAGCATGGCCAACCTAGCGTCGACGTACAGGAACCAGGGCCGGTGGGAGGAGGCCGAGAAGCTAGAGGTTCAAGTGATGGAGACGAGGAAGACGAAGCTCGGGGCCGATCATCCCTCCACGCTGACGAGCATGGCCAACCTGGCGTCGACGTTTTGGAACCAGGGCCGGTGGGAGGAGGCCGAGAAGCTAGACGTTCAAGTGATGGAGACGAGGAAGACGAAGCTCGGGGCCGATCATCCCTCCACGCTGACGAGCATGGCCAACCTAGCGTCGACGTACAGGAACCAGGGCCGGTGGGAGGAGGCCGAGAAGCTAGAGGTTCAAGTGATGGAGACGAGCAAGACGAAGCTCGGGGCTGATCATCCCGACACGCTGACGAGCATGGCCAACCTAGCGTCGACGTACAGGAACCAGGGCCGGTGGGAGGAGGCCGAGAAGCTAGAGGTTCAAGTGATGGAGACGAGGAAGACGAAGCTCGGGGCCGATCATCCCTCCACGCTGACGAGCATGGCCAACCTGGCGTCGACGTTTTGGAACCAGGGCCGGTGGGAGGAGGCCGAGAAGCTAGACGTTCAAGTGATGGAGACGAGGAAGACGAAGCTCGGGGCCGATCATCCCGACACGCTGACGAGCATGGCCAACCTAGCTCATACGTGGAAAAGCCAGGGCCGGCGGGTCGACGCAATCCAGTTGATGCGCGACTGCCTTGGGCTCCAGCAACGCCGTCTTGGAGTCAATCATCCCAACACCAGGTCCTCCTTTTCGAGTCTTGAGGAGTGGGAAAAGGTTCCAGTTGCGAAGAAGCGAATCATCTTCAAGGTTCCGAAGCGGAAGAAGCGAATAAGCTTTGAGCACGATTTATGTAGACGATGAGAGCTTAGCTGGAACGTTGACAAGTGAAACCTCGAATACTGTAAGCCAACTGGGCTGACCGATCTGCAAATCCCACGATAATAACCAAAACGTGAAAGAAGAGGCGGTCGGAACGATAGAAAGCACAAATGGGTGCAAGACACCGTTTGGTCAAGGCGGACCCTAAATGGATTATCAGTGGGGCAGAGTGGATAGCGGCCAATTCTGACTCTGTTAGCGGTTGTCCCATGAGTACCTGCTCACTACAAGCGTAATCTGCCAAGCCAAGTGACCCACAGCTCCACACCACCACTACTAAAGATGTTAAGTAACGATTTTGGTGAAACCCAATACGCCTTTTACTGTACCCACTACTTTCTTGCTATTCGCCTTAATAGCAGCCGCTATAACTTTATACTGCAACAGTAGCACTGAGGGCAACAGAGATTATAAGAATAATAAGCTGCATACTTACTGCATAGGTCTCAGGGATGCATTTTCCTGCTTCTTTTGTTAACATTTCTTAGAAGTGCAGCAATATAAACGAGACTCCTCACGTTAACGCGAGAGAAGTCATAGTGAAGTCTGAAGACTGTAAAGATTAGGATGTTTACACGCCTTTAGGCACCTTAAGATTTAGACGAGTGTTTTATGCGCTATAGTTAGTAGTAAGTCTTTTATATATATTATATCTACGTTAGATGCCATAAGGTAGGCCCTACATAGTAGCAACAGGTCACTATAAATAACTACCCTACTAGATATATAGAAGAATAAGTAACTGTAACTTTAAATATCTACGCCTATATATATAGCTAGTAATCTAATAATATGACTAGCTGATCTAAAATTACTACTATATATGAAATTTTCTACTATAGCTTTTATATTACTATTAGAAATTAATTGTATTAAACTTTTACTACTTCTCACTATTCTACTCTAATTTTCCTTACCTTCTCTATTTTTCTTATAGCTAAAATCTAGAGGATTACTATGATTAATATTAAAGCACCTAATATTGTATTATATTAAGAACTTAAGTAGATTCTTTTATATTATAACTTCTTAAAATAATTAGATCAACTATTTTTATATTATTAATTTTATTTACTTTTTAATAATATCTATAATTTTGTTAAAGCTATTTTAATTACTATATATTAAAAAAACCTATACTAGCTAATATAAAATAACCTAATTATATTTTAAACGTTATTAGTATTAATATTAATTATTAAGATAGTTCTATTGAAAAGATTATCTTATTAAATAAATTAAATTGTTTAGAGAATTAAGCTATATTTTAGTTATATTTAAAATCTTTTTTAATATAACTACATCTAAAATAATAATAAAGCTTATATATAAATAAGCTTTTAGTATTATTATAGCTAATATATCTTTATAACTTATTAACTATTTCTATTAGAATTATAGTAATATTTACCTCTAGTTTAACTAATATAATTTAATTACTTATTATATTTTCTATATAGTAAACTACTATTTATCTCTATTTATATTCTAAAAAGAAGTATTTAACTATTATTTCAAATTAATTCTAAGTTTCTTGTTAAAGAAATATTAACTCTCTCTTCTTTAGTAATAGCTTAATAAAATTAATAAAATAGTTTCTATAGATTAGCCTAAATAATAACCTCACTTCTTAATATTAATATCTAACTATACTTTATAATAGCTTCTTATTAATATTTATTTTATTAGCACTAAAGTTAAGCTATAATAATATAATAAAAAACGCTATATTTTAACTATTTATTATTCTTAATAATACTATAACTATATAAATAGTATAAATAAAACTAATAACTATAGATATTTTCTAATAGTATAAATATATACAGTATATTAAAATATTGTAACTTTTAAAACTAAATAGATTAGTTATTTTAATTTAATAGCTAAAAATCTGTCTTATTATAATGATATATTAAAATTTAAATATATAATACATATAGATATATATGTTTTTTATTATTATTTATAATATCTAGCTATTATTTAAAATAAATAAGTTACAAAAAGAAATCTAATTATTATACTTATTAAGTATTATTTTAATTTAGTATATAATTAAGCTTATAATATTAAAAACTCTTATTCTTTAGCTAAACTATTATCTCTTATACTAGAAATATTATAAAAACATTTTGAATAGAACTTTTTAGATATATTATAAATATTCTATAAATAAAAGCCTATTATTGAATATTTTATTTAAAAATATACTTTTTAGCTATTTATATAAGCTATAATTTATAATATTTATAATACTAAAGTTAAGGACTTATATATCTAACTAAAAATAATTTTCAAAATATTTCGTAGAGAAATCTAAACTTAACTAAATAAACCTATAAATATAACTACTTTAGTATAATCCCTTATGAAAATTAATAACTAAGAGAGTGTTTTTATTTAAATAGCTACAAATTATTATCTATAGTAATAATAATAGCTACTATTAGTACTAATAATAATAGCTTAAATATTCTATATTTATATATTCTAACTATATAATAAAATTCTAGCTTTTTATTTAAACTAATAAGTAGAGTTTAATATCTACTAAAATAATACCTTTTCTAGATGCTTAGCCTAACTATAGAACTATAACGTTCTATATAGTTAGTATTAAAGCTATTAAAACTAAAGTATTAGAAACTAACTTTGTTAATAATATAAATATTTCTAGCTTATAATACTTTATAACCTATTTATAGGAAATAAATAATAGATATTTAGTAAATAATAATAGCTACTAAAAAACTAAAACTAATAAAATACTAGCTATAGCTTTTAATAAAAAGCTATTCTAACTATAAACCTATTAAGTTAACTAGCTAACCTTTAGAATACCTAATAATAAAGTAATTATAGTCTAGCTTAATAACCTAAATATACTACTATTTATATAGCTAATAAAAATATAGACGAAAAGGCTTCTCTAACCCTTCCTTATAAACTAAATATGTAAATAGATCTTATTAAAATAGAATAGCTATCTATATAATCTATAAAAATAAGCTTTAATTTAAATAATACTAAGCTTAGAATTAATACTAACTATTTATTAGTATTTATAGATAAATTGAGTAGTATTACTTATTTTAGTATTATAACTCTAAACGTATATAGATATTAAACTTATGAAAAGGAATTCTTATTAAGTAGTAAGCTATTTAATTATCTAACCTAGTTATAAAAAGTTCTCCTCTAATAGCTTATTATAGAGGCTAATATAAAGCGCAATCTCTATAAGATATCTAAAATATTAATATTAGAAGATATAATATTTATAGTTTTAGAATTTATTAACTTTAAACCATTAATATAGTTAAAAACCTACTAACTAATAATATTATAGAGCTAATAGAGGAGTAAATAATTATGCTAAATAATATAGATAACACTAATATAAAGGTACCTATTAATATATTAATAATAGATATATCGCTACATATAGAAATAGAATTTAGAGCGTATAAATATATGTATATATACGCTTAAGCTTGACTATATTACTTAAAAACAAAATTGAAGAAGAAATATATAGAGATATTAGCTATAGCTATATTTTAGCAGATAAAATATAATTATAAAAGACTTATTTATACTTGTAGATTAAGCTTTAGTTATAACTACTTATTATATATAAGATTAATTTAAACTACTATTAAATAGCTAAATATATTATTTTTCTTTTTTATTTCTAAAATATAAATAGTTAATAAATAGTAAATATACATATACTTAGTTATAAAATATTATTAGTGTTTAGACTATAAGCTAAGATGCTTATTAATAATAATATTATAGTTTTTAACTATCTAAAATTATAGGATATATTAATTTGTATAAAGTTATTATATCTTTTTATTATAAGCTATAAATAAAACCTCTAATTAGAATAATAATATTACCAGCTATTATAGTTAATATAGTTCATCAGTCAGCTAGCTAGACCAGTCAGCTGGATGTTTTTTTCTAAACACTCTTACGTCCAAATCACTTAAACCTTTAACGCATAAAATCATAACAACCATAATGCTAATCTACACCTAAGAAGACAAAGTCATTCTCATAATTAAAGGAATCTAATTGACATGCGCTGCAGGTAATAACTTAAGCATTTTGCGTGCTGCAAAGACCTATGGTATCCTAAAGAGCATTTTAGCTGATAGAATGAACAACTAACCGCGATGCGAATAAGCTTAACCCTAACGATATAAACTTAATCTAATTAAAGAGAAAACACTTCTCTAATATATTATTAAATAGGATTTCAGAGGATTTCCTTTCCGCCTCAGCAGTGTGGAAGATATAGCATAGCTAATCTCCTGCTGTAAGCCTGTAATAGCAAGCCTATTGGCAAGCGATAGGCTAGGCGGTTTGTAGACTCACAGCCTGCTCTGAAAACCAAGTTTAATTGTCTATATGATTATTAAAGGGCTCTTTAAGAAGATTCTAAGGTTATATTAAAGTGCTTTGCGCTATTACGCAACATAATAGCTAAGTATGGCATCTAAGAGGGGGACCTATATAATTTTGATGAAACTGGCTTCATGATGGGCATGATCACTCCGTTAATGGTGGTTATATATGCTGATTGATGCGTCAAAGCAAAGTCTGTCCAGCTTAGCAACTGTGAATAGGCTATAGTTATTGAATGTATTAATTTGGGTGGGTGGTGTATCCCTCTGTTTGTGATTGTTAAGGGTGTATATCACCTTATTAGTTAGACTATAGAATTAGGTTTTCTAAGTAACTAGGTGATTAAACCTACTGCTAATAGACAGATAGATAATTAGATAGGTTTTAACTAGATTAAACACTTTAATAAACACACTAAGAACTAAATGAAGGGTGTCTATTAGATGCTTATTATTAATAGCTATAAGAGCTATTTATCAGCTGAATTTAATAATTATTATAAGTAGAATAATATTATAACTCTTAGTATGCCTGCATATTTATTGCATCTACTACAGCTATTA